AGAGCACCTAAATGTTGTTTTCATTTACTTAGTTTAGCATTTGCAGAGTTCTTGTCGAGTGTTTTGCTTCTTAAGAAAACCTGGCTTCGGTAGTACATACACAACGCTTGAAACCCTTACCCTTGCCTCTTGAAAATCCCGAGGGTAGAACTGATTACACATTTCTGATTAAATAAGTTTATCAAAACTAAAATTGTATTGGGCCAACTGTGAATCTCAGGTTTCAACTAATGGAAAATCCAACTTGTTGAATTAATCCTTTTTGCCAATTTTTAATGGGAAAGTTGCATTTGAAATGCAGTTTAATGATACAAATTTAGTTAATTTATAATAATAATAAAAAAAAAGTTAAGGTCAACATCAGGCTACTTATTATTTAAATGTATTTAAATTTATTTAAATTACGTACACGAACCATCCCAACTGATCTAATCTTTTTTTAAATGATTTTAAATTCATGAAACTATTCTGTTTTGGATGTATTTTATATTTTGGACCAGAAAGAAGCAGGGCAGTGCACGTGGCAGCAGCGTGTCCTGTCCACAACTGAAGCCGGGCTGGCCAGTAGGGTGGCCATCAAAAGACAGTCCGGTTGTCTTCCATCCTCTATTGATACGAAACCGGATTCCTTTATATTCTCTATTTTTATCTTTCTATTTTTCTCTTCTTGAAGAGAAAAATAGAGGATATAAAGGCATCGGGTTTCGTTTCAACAGAGGATGGAAGACAACCAGACTGTCCTCTGTGATGGCCACCCTACTGGCCAGAGCCATGTTCTGGCTGCTGGCCAGACTCTGCTTTCCAGGATCCCCGCCCAGGATCCTGGGCCCCAGCTTCCCCTACCCCACCAGGAGCATTTTGCCCTGTGCTAAACCCATGTGCATGGGCATGTGCTGGGGCGAAAAGCAGCGGCATGAATTTGTGCCACTGCTTTTTTCCTGTGGAAACTCACGTGCCTGCTCGTGAGGATTTTGACATTTCTTAAGTTCTGAATGCCAAAAAAACACAAACAGACTAATATGAGCTCCCTTTTGTTGTACAATGTTCTTTTCTTTATTTTGGAAATAAATAAATACCAGCAAGATAAAAAAGCACTGTTTTTGGAAAAAAATCAGCAGAAGAAAATTTTGAATGGTGCACAGCTATTGCATTGATTAATGAATCAGTGGCACAATGGTGAAGTGCAGACATGTACCACTGCTGGAAAAAGGATGAATGTTCCTTTATCTTTAGCTTTGCAAAAAAAACCCCACTGCAAAAAAAATCCACTAGAGTGGATTCTTAGAAAGAATATATTATTCAACCATGAGGAAATAGGAAATAATGAATTTGCAAGACAATGAGGCTATGTGATAGAACACGGTTTATTTACTTGGGAAGTTGAAATGTTTTCTGCTTTTTCTGAGCCACGTCTGTTTTGTTTGCATAGAGTGCACATCATTATTAGAGATAGGGTGCAACTGGAAACCACATTTGACTGAAGGATTTCAATCTGAAAATTCACTTGTTGTGAACTGGCTTCAAAACTAATAGAAGGCTTTTATTTTTTTAAAGATTTGGCATGGACTTGTAAAAAGTACTGTACTTAAATGATTCAGTAACCTTAAAGGTACTGAGTCTCCTGGTGCGATGCATGCAAGGAGGCACATGGGTGAAGATTTCCCTGTTGGAGCGCAGTACTGCCATGCTGTAGGCAATTCAAACTTTTTACAAGCCCTGTAGAAAAACAAACTGAATCTCTTTTGATTCACGCTACTACATGGCTCCCATGATGTATTGCTTCCCCATACCAGTAAAGTAACACAGGGCCACATCATTGGTGTTGTAGTCTGATTAGGGATCTGGCCCTATGTGGTAGGGCATGAGAGGTGGGAGAGACCCTGGCATAAATTCAGAACTGAAATATTTTCTTTTGATTTTTTTTTTCCACTGAAAAGCTTAACTTTTCTACCAAATGCTTTGCTCTATCTTCTAAACTGTTCCAGTTGGGCATTCTAACATGGAAGGGCATTCTCAGATAGTTTGCCTTGGGTGGAAGCGGCCTTCACCAAGTCCGTGTGGCTGCTAGCTGGCCTGAAGTTCCCTCTATTAACACTTCAAGCCTTCTTGCAGACTAGGCAGACAAGGTTCTTTGGTTAAAAGTGATATCTTTTATTAGACCAACTAAACAGTTGGAAAAATTGTTTTTTGCAAGCTTTCAGGTACAAAAACCCCTTCTTCAGGCATAGGAAGAGTCTGCTGGTTGTGTGTGAGCTCTCCTGGGTGGAATAGAAGCCAATATGCAAAGTGAGGTCTGTGAAAAGGCAGTGAGGATCAGAGGGGATAGGAGACAGTAGGTGTGAGACATTGACCTGGTGACAGAATGCAGCTGGCAAATTGTAGAGCGGTTACCTGGGGTTATTGGATGGCAGGCAGGTTATAATGTGCCATAAATCCAATGTCTGTCTTTAGTCCATGATTTTTTTTTTATCCAGTAGATTTAGAAAGTGAAGTTCATAGACTCGTCTGTAAAAGGTGTTTTGTAAATTCCCTTTGAGGATTAGAACTGAGAGATTGGAGAGAGAGTGGTTGTCTTGTGAGAAACGTGCGCCCACAGGGAATTGGGTATTTTTGTCTGTGATAGATTGTCAGTGTTCTGGTGTGCGGTTGTTGTTTGATTTCTCCTAAGAATTTTCTATCTGTGCATTCAGTGCACGCGGTGAGATATGTAACATTTCTGGAGGTGCAGGTGTCAGATCCAGGAATGGTGATGGCTGTTTTGGGGTGTAGTTACTGTGGGAGTGGTGGAGATGTGTTCACCAGTTTTACATTTCTTGTCCCAGCATGGTCTGGATCTATTTGGTGTGCTTTGGGCCATAGGAAGTTTGCTTCTGGTGATGAGCAGGGATCCTGGTTTTCTTGGTTTAAAAACTGCAAATTCAAAACTGCAAATTCTCTGAATTAAAAAAAACCCAACAATTTAGATTAAAAAAAAAATCTTAAGTTCTCTGATTTAAAAACTCCCAAATCCATCATTCCCTACCCATGGCTCCCCAGCCCTGCCAGAGGGGACCCCCAGCTGCCGGGGCTACAGGGCCAGGGACCAAGATCCCCCTGCCCCCTGCCCATAGGAGGCAGCGGTTGCAGCAGCATATCGCAGTGGGAAGCCTGGCTTGCCCTCCCCTGCAGGTGGCACAGCCAGAGCAGAGTCTGTGGGGGAGTGTGTGCAGGCTGCCCACCATAGGCTCAGGCTCCCTGCCCTGCTACCCTCCCCCCAGGACCTCCGAAGCCCAGTGGCAGGGACCCGGAGTGGCAGGGCAGAGCGAGGCTGGGCAGGGATGCCTGGTGTTGCCTCCATGGTGGGGTGCACCCTGCCCACCTGGCAGCAGTGGGGGCAGCAGCATGGACTTGTGCCTTCCACTGCTGCTGGGTGGGCAGGGGATACCTCACTGTGGTGGCACTTGGCTTGTGGCAGTGGCAAAGAGCTTCCCCACCCAGCCCCACTCTGCCCTGCCACAACAGGTCCCACCCAGGGTTGCGGAGGCCCCAGGGGAGGGCAGCAAGGTGGAGAGCCCTGAGCCTGCAGTGGGCAGCCTGCACCTGTCCCCACCCCATGCAAAAATCTAGGGGACATATGCCCCCTGTGCGCTTCCCGGGAGTACACGCAGTGGTGAGGAGCCAGCCCTCCCCACACCCTAACAAGCCACCTGCAGCTCTGTCCTGCTCCCTGCCCGGGCCTTGTGGCTGCACATTTTGGGCACCAAGCATTGTCTGGGCTGGGCAGCAGCCCCAGCCCTGCCCTTCCTCCATCACTCACTGTGGGAGCCTCAGTTCCCCCCACCCCTCTCCAACTTACCTGTGGGAGCTGTCTCCAAAGTGCATGGTAGCCATGTGTATGCATGCACATGCACAGGGTATCCCTCCTGCATAATAATTCTCATGCAGTTTATCAGGAGAAAAATCTAGGTTTTTCTCCTTAAATGAGAAAATCCACATTTTACCATGCTTTTCCATAGCAAACAGAAAACCTGGATCCCTGGTGAGGTTCGGTGCTTGTTTGAAGGCTAGGATGGGTGGTTCTGGGAAGATCTTCATAAGAATTGGGTCATCTGCTAGCATGGGTTGCATTTATTTGAGGATTTTCTGTATAGGTTCCAGGTATGTCATAACTAATGGTGTACGGTTCATGGGGATTTTCTTTTTGTACTGCCGCAGTTCTTCATGTGGTAGCTGGGTGGCGCTTTCAAAAGGACAATCTGTTTTTCTGGAGGAGTGAAAGCCCTTTACAGATCTGCAAGGTGGCAATCACTGGTGTTTTCCTTGGTGCAGATTTGGTGGTATGGGAGGGCTTGGCTATATTAATATACAGCCAAGCCCTCCAATACCACTGAATTTGCACCAAGGAAAACACTAGTGATTTTGCACCAAGGAGAACAGCTGAGAGTTCTTGGTGGGATTGCTGGTTCTGTGCAGATATGCATGTTGGTCCATGGGTTTCTTGTATATGGTGGTTTGTATTTTACCATTCTGAATACTTCTTTTAGACTAAGGTCTAGGTGGTTTTCTCTGCCTCCTGTGAGCGGATCCTATGCCCTGTGTTTGGCTGATAAAAGCTGTCTTAATGTAGGGCTTAATTCAGCCCTTAGGAGCAGGGGAGGGCAAATGAAATATTGTGATAGTTTCCAAAAGGGAACTGGGTAAGGATCTAAACAAGGCCAGTATGACTGTAATAATTATTTTGGTTAATCTCACTTACTTCCAGATGCAGACTGACTGATGCAGGAAAGACTGACTCCTGGAGGGAGATAAGCATTCTCCAAGCAAAAGGCAGGATACTTGCACCTGATAGACAAGCTAGTACTACTTACCTAGTATGGCATATCTTCCCTCCCCAAGCAGTGAAAGCTCAATTTAATAGCCAAGTCTACAGGCCAGATCCTCCGCTGTGTTAAATGAGCACAACTGGAATGAAGTACATGGGAATTCACTCATTTACACCACCTGTTGAGCTGGGCCAGGGTTCAGCTGTTCTAATCCGGCAGCATCCAAGATCCCCTGACTGCCCTTGCTGAGGAAACAAAGACAAAAGATTTGGACTCAACAAGAAGCACTAAAGCATTGCAAAGATCTTCTTCCATCTCATTTTATCAAGAGAGTGCTCCAGAGAGGCTGTAAGTGAAGTGTTTTCTTGTGTTTGACTTTTAGCTGAAGGAAAACTTGTAGATGGGGCAGAGGAGGAGGTTAGCAGGGGAGGCTAACCAACTTTCTGGTGATTATTTTTAAAAATCGTGTCAATGTGTCAGTGCTCAGAGGCTTGGTTATTTTAGGGAAGTGATGTCTTTAATTCTTGCTCTCTCACATGTGGTGTTGCCATTAGAATGGCAAATCAACAATCCTTGCTGAAGGTCTTGAGCCCTGCTTGCTTTGAAAAAAAAAAAAGTATATGATCAAAATTAAATCTTCTTGAGAAGCTGCATTCAGGCACTGGTTTTACATCACTTGGGTCTAATTTCTCTGGGTACTTGAGAAAGCTCTACTGATATAAGCATGGATATATGTGCTGCCTTCTGCAGTGGTGAATTTTACTATTAATAATTCTTACGCAGTTTCTCATAGCTATGAGAGTCAATTTTGTACCCTTAAAACATACCAAGGATGAGTATCATCTGCTCAACAGGCCTGCAGACTTGTGAGTATGAATGTAGTCGCTTCTTTATATTTGGATTTAAGAATGTGCTAAGGAAGGAAATGGTATTGGTGGCAAGTAATTTAGTATGCAATTAAACGTGTAACTTCACTATTTGTCTTGGAGTTAACTATGCTAATGGGTGCAGGGTGGAAGGAACGCAAAATGCATTTGTTTGGTTACGTTTGTCAATTTTTCTTTAAAATGTTGAATAGAATGAGAACAGTCCCTAAACTGCTGGGACATTATTTAAATCTATTTGAAAGCCTCATGCTAATACTTAAATTGCTTCCTATTTTAATTGAAATATTTACTTCTGGGAAGGTGGGAGATGCAGGCGCTGCTTGCAAACCTGTGTGGCTCAGACACAAGTACTCTTAGTGATAAACACAGACTTGAAGGTAAAATAAATGTGTAGAAGCAGTTCCTCTGGAGGATTGGCGTTGAGAAAATAGTGAATTAAAATGTTTCTTAGTTATGCGTTAGAAAATTAGCGAGGCCTTGCATTAATTGAAATTCAGTTCTTTATGTATATTGGTTCTTCCTTATCCTTCAGGGATTTGCAGCAGAGAGAGAGAGACACGCACAGCAACAGATTAATCCAAATGTTGGCAACGACAGAGATAAATTGAGGGTTTAAAGCCTACATTGAGATAAATTACCATTAAAAACCTTCTCGCCCTTCTTCCTGGATTTTTTTTTTTATAGGAGTAGGAATTTTATAAAGCAATATCGGTCATTGCTTGTGGACTAAGTTACAACAGTGGGGAGGTTAAGTGAAAGCAAGTGCTGACCTGAAGCTTGAGGGGCAGCTTCTGTGCCACCTGTGAGATGCTTAAGTGTGAATCTGATCCACTCTGCTCAAGTCCCTGAAAAAGAGTTAAGGAAAAACCATGAGGGTGTCCCCTCCTCACTGCCCTTTTGTAAGTCATCCTAGCCAAAAGGCTGAGACAGTGTATTACAAAAGTAGATGCAGTCTCTGGTGCCA